TTGAGCAATCTCCATGCTGCTTTCCACAGGGCTGAACTAATTTTATAAATTTATATTCCTTTTTTTTTTTTTTTTTTGAGACAGGGTCTCACTTTGTCACCCAGACTGGAGTACAGTGGTGCAGTCTTGGCTCACTGTAGCCTCCACTTCCCTGGTTCAAGCGATCCTCCTGCCTCAGCCTCAGAAATAGCTGTGACTACAGGCATGCACCACCATGCCTAATTTTTGTATTTTTTGTAATGATGGGTTTTCCACCATGTTCCTCAGGCTTGTCCGGACCTCCCTGAGCTTAAGCGATCTGCCTGCCTCAGCCTCCCGAAGTGTTGAGATTATAGGTGTGAGCTACCATGCCCAACCATGTTCCCTTTTATCCACGACTTTGTCAACATGGTATTTTTTTACTTTTAGTAATAGCCATTCTGACTGGTATGAGATGGTATCTCATTGTGGTTTGGACTTTGATCATGATTTCTCTGATAATTAGTGACGTTGAGCATTTTTTCATATATTTTTGGCTGAATATATGTCTTCTTTTTCAAAGTGTCTTTTCATGTCCTTTGCTTATTTTTAATGGAGTTGTTTATTTTTTGCTTATTCAACTGTTTAAGTTTTTTTAAAATATATTCTAGATATCAGGCCTTTGTCAAATGCATTGTTTAGGAATATTTTCTCCCATTCTGTAGGTTATCTGCTTACTCTATTGGTAGTTTATTTTGCTGTGAAGAAGCTCTTTAGTTTAATTAGATCACACTTGTCAATTTTTGTTTTTCTCACAATTGCTTTTGGAGACTTGGTTTTAACTTCTTTTCCAAGGCCAGTGTCGAGAATGGTATTTCCTAGGTATTCTTCTAGGGTTTTTATAGCTTTAGGTCTTACATGTAAGTCTTTAATTCATCTTGAGTTTATTTTTTGTATATGGTAAAAAGAAGGAGTCCAGGTTCAATCTTCTGCATATGGCTAGCCAGTTATCCTGCAACCCTTTATTAAATAGAGAATCCTTTTCCTTTGCTGTTATTGTTGACTTTGTCAAAGATCAGATGCTTATAGGAATGCAGCTTTATTTCTGGGTTTTTTATCCTGTTCCATTGGTCTCTGTAGGTTTTTATACCACAGCCATGCTGTGTGCTTACTGTAGCCTTGTAATATAGCTCGAAGTTGGGCAATGTGATGCCTCTGGCTTTTCGTCTGTCCCCGTCCCCCCGCCTGCCCCTTAGGATTGCTTTGGCTATTTGAACTCTTTCTTAGTCCTATGTGAATTTTAGAATCATTTTTTCTAATTCTATGAAAAATGATGTTGGTATTTTGATAGGAATAGCATAGTAAATTGCTTTGGGCAGTATGGCCATTTTAACAATATTGATTCTTCCAGTCCATGATCATGGAGTCTTTTTCTATTTGTTCATGACATTTCCAATTTCTTTCAGTAGTGTTTTGTAATTCTTGTTGTAGAGATTCTTCACCTCCTTGGGTAGCTATATTTTTAGGTATTTTATTATTTTCGTGGTAATTGCAAATGAAATTACATTTTGGTTTGGCTCTCAGCTTGGACATTGTTGGTGCATAGAAATGCTACTGATTTTTGTATTCTGAAACTTTACCTAAATCAGTTATCTGTTTGAGGAGCCTTTTGGCAGTCTTTAGGGTTTTGTGGGTTTGAAGTCATGTTGTCTGTGAAGAGTGACAGTCTGGTTTCCTCTCTTGTTATCTAGATGCCTTTTCTTTCTTTCTCTTGCCTGATTGCTCTAGTTAGGTCTTACAAGACCACCTTTTATTTACTCAGAAAGAAACGTTTACCAAGCACTTTCACATGCATTATATACGCTGATCCTCCCAACAGCTTTGTGTAATAGATGGCACCTCAGCATTGATACCGATGCTGTAGAAGACCAAGAAATGATGAGAAGGGACTAGGCTTTGAAACGGGATAGACTTGGGTTTGTTATCTTAGGCCTTTCTACGTTGTCCTGTGGCCTAGGGCTGTAACAGTACCTCTTTTTGCTTCTGCCTTTTATTTCATAAAAGACAACCAAAAAAGGAGGAAAGGAGAAGGAAAAGAAGTAAGTGGGCTATTATAAAGATTGAAGCTGATGATGTAATGGATTTCGTGAAATTTTAGGAACATGTTTGGATAATATTTTTTCTTTTCTTTTTATTTCAGTAGTTTTGGGGGTATAGGTGGTTTGTGGTTATATGGATACATTCTTCAGTGGTGATTTCTGAGATTTTAGTGCACCTGTCACTGGAGCAGTGTACACTGTACTCAATATATAGTCTTGTATACCTCACCTCCCTCCCAACCATTTCCCCTGAGTCCCCAGAGTCCATTATATCATCCTCATGCCTTTATGTATATTTGGACAATCTTTGTAGGTTCCGGAAGCTCAGAGACTTAAATAAGATTCAGTTCTTGCTCTCAGAATGCACCTAGTCTACTGGGGAACAGATGAAAGCAATAGACAGAAAGTAAGACAATGGGCCATTAGTGATGGAAGCACGTTGTGTGGGTGACCAGCCCTAGGAGAGAGGGAGTCACTGGGGCATTTTGTGAGCATGAGGATGAGATGGAGATACTTGGACCAAACGCTAGGATGATTATGTAAATTTAAGATGACTGAAGACCACCCTTATGTGGCAAGTCAACATTAACCTACAGGCTGGTCTGGTGGCTTGTTCCAGGTCACTGTCCTGTTCAATATTTTTATGCTGTCTTGGATGGAATTGTACATATTGGTTTTGGTGACAAAGTGGTAGGCTCAGAGAGATTAATTTAGATGACAACATCAAGATTATAAAAAATCTTAACAATATAAGACCAGGGTGAAACAAAGTAAAGTCTTTGTATTTGAATTGAAAAGATTTCTAATAGGTAGCACACAGAAATAGAAAACACAACTTATTGCCATTACCTTTGATAAAGACTTACAGGGTTTATTTAACAATAAATTCACTATATGAGACTATTGTGATTTGGTGATAAAGACATGATTTAGGGCTATATGACTAGAAATATAGTTCCTATAATGAGGGAGGTTATGGCTCTATTATTTTCTGTGCTGGAATATTATGATGTTTACAGAGTGACTATCAGCCAACATTCTTTGAAACCTAGCTATATGATAGTTATTTCCAATATTTAAAGTGCTGCCACAGAAAAGAGGAATTTAACATTTTTCTGTAGATTTGTTCTGTCTTTCATACTTTCCCACACTGACATGCTTTTTTACACTTCTATCCTTTGCTTTTAAAATTTAAGAATATTTCTTAGAGGGATTTCCAAATCTGTGTAGATTAATAGCATTTTGAAAGCTGTGTAGTGTTCTGTAGTTTAGAGAAACCTATCAAAGTTTAATCATTTCCTTTTGGATAGCATATAAATCATTTCTAATTTCTTTATTATTATAATCAATGCTTATATTATCCCACTTATTACTTAAAACCCACAAAACAATATATATATTTTGATTAGTACTTACAAGTGAATATAGAATATGGAAAGTAAATTTGCTCATGTCAGTCTTGGGTTCTGTTAGCTTAACTACGCCCTATGACTCAACGGCAGGCCTGTCCCTGTGTCCTTATAGGTACACAGAAAGGAAAGTTGCTCACCCAAAGACTCCTATTCTGTTAAGTGCACCTTACAGAGTGGGGGTCACCACCAGGCCCACTAAGCATATTGATCATCAACAGAATGACTCTTTTCTTCTCTCACCAAGGAAAGAACCCAAATTTATCCTCCCCTTTCAGTTAACCTGCTGAGGCCACCCCTAAATACCTACACTGGCTTTCAATGTGTGATCGGTTGCAACTATTGCTTTTTACAATACTACCCGAAAACTTAGTGGCTGTAAATAATACACATATATTATCTTCCAATTCCTACAAGTGAGAAATCTGGGTGTGGCTTAGCTAAGTTCCCTGGTTCAAGGTATCGCACAGGCTGCTGCAAGGCCAGGCCTATGGTCCCTCAAGACTAGATGGAGGGATGATTCACTTCCAAGCTCATTCACATGACTGTAAGCACCATTCAGTTCCTCAAAGGGTGTCGCCCAGAGGCTACCCTTATTTCCTTGCCATTTGGACTTCTCCATAGGGAAAACCACACAAGGCAGCTGGCTTCATCAGAGCCAGCAAGTAAGAAGTGCCCGAGAGAGGGAGAGAGGGAGACAGCAAGATGAAATCACAGTCTTATGTAACCTAATCCTAGAATCACCCATGGCTTTCGCCATGTCCTACAGTCATCCCTTGGTATATGCGTGGGATTGGTTCCAGCATCCCTATGTATACCTCAATCTGTGCATACATACTCAAAGTTCTGCAGTTGACCCTGCAGAAGCCACATATTTGAAAAGCTGACAATACTTATATGTGGATTTCTCATCTTGCAAACAAGTTATTTTCGATTCACATATTTGTTTGAAAAAAATCCACGTATAAGTGTCCTGCGCGGTTCAAACCCATGTTGTCCAAAGGTCAACTATATTTCTTAGAAGTAAGTCACCAGGTCCACCCCTCAAGGGGAGAGGATTGCACAAGGGTGTGAATACTGGGAGGTGGGGTTTATCTCAGAAGCTGCCACTATGATGAAAGGCTAATTCAGTGGGGATGCGTGAGCAAATTCACAAGTAAAGACGTTTTGTTCTAGGTGAAAAGAGGCTTTAGAAAGATAAATCTCTTAAACAAAATGACACTTAAGCACAGCTGCCTGCATACAGTAGGTGCTAAATAATTACTGTTTTTCTTTCTTTTATCGTTTCATTTGGGAATAATCTCTAAGTTAAAGTTGCAGGAAGAGTGAAAGAATCTCATATACCTTTTACAGATTCACTGTTTCTCAATAATTATATTCTGAATACATTATAAAATATGTCACATGGGAAGATAATATTTGTAACCATCAAAACTGTGGGGCCTGGTGAGAGGTGTAGGCTGTGATCATATTGGGTCTCTGCCTTTGGAGTTGTCATCTCTCAAATGCTTGCTTCTTCCTCTTCTTCCTCCAGAAAATCCTGAGCGAGCAGCTCTGTACTTTGTTTCTGGCGTGTGCGTCGGGCTGGTCCTGACCCTGGCTGCTTTGGTGATAAGGATCTCTTGCCACACAGACTGCCGAAGGCGTCCTGGGAAGAAGTTCCTGCAGGACAGAGAGAGCAGCAGCGACAGCAGTGACAGCGAGGACGGCAGCGAGGACACCGCATCTGATCTCTCCGTACGGAGACACCGCCGCTTCGAGAGGACTTTGAACAAGAACGTGTTCACCTCCGCGGAGGAGCTGGAGCGCGCCCAGCGGCTGGAGGAGCGCGAGCGCATCATCAGGGAGATCTGGATGAACGGCCAGCCTGAGGTGCCCGGGACCAGGAGCCTGAACCGCTACTATTAGGGCAGCAGCAAGGCCCAGAAACCGCTGGAGGCCTCCTGGAAGGGAGAGTTTCTGCAGGGACAGCGGGCACAGGGAACTGAACCCAGCCCTGCTGATATTGTGATTTCTGAGAAAAAGCAGGACATGCCTGTTTTCTAGCTAGGAGGATTGCTCCTTTTTGGCCAAATCTACGGAGAAGTAGAAAAATCAAGGCAGTTCATCAACCTTTCCACGTCTTGGAATGGTGCTGAAAAACCCTCTCCAACACTGTGGATGGAGATCGGAGAAACGCAACTGTGGTTTCTCTTGATTTCTGAGGATCTCGGAAGTTTCTGCAGACTTGCTTGCTATGTGTTATTCCTTTGCAAAAGGAAAGATCATCATAGCATGAGGGATGGGAATAGCAGGGTGTACTTAACCCAGTAAATGCAATTTCCTAAATGACTCCATGTTATGGAGGTGATTCTGATTCAAATAGCATGATCCATGCTTATTATTTAAGGCTGATTTTTAAAATCTGTGTTGCAAGGGCAACCTCGTCCATTTTAACTGGCACCTCAGGGATTACAGTCCTATTTTTTAGAATAGTTCCCACTTCATTTATGAAAATGAATAGAACTATTATATTATGGGAGAAGTGTCAGTGAAGTAGAAAATATCAATAACCTCAAAGGATGAAGGGTTTTTATTTTAAATAGTTTATAAAATATATACTGACATGCACATTTGAAAATGCTGCATAAAAATAAAAGTGGTATGTTTTCCCCCTCTTTGGAGACAAGAAAATTTTATTATGACTCTAGATAATTGCAATTTTAAACATTTTTTTGTTTTTTTAAAGTTTGGATTTCAAAGAAAAGAATGGAAATGAGAGGTAAGGATTAAAGCCAAAGTTAGGATGGGAATAAAAAAATAAACATTACATAAAATCTTTTTTGTTTCATGTCTGTCTTTGTGGTTACACTTACCTTAAATGACAGCTCTTTTATATACATGGGTATGGGCTTTTGCCAGGCCCCTTAAGGATTAGAGAGGAGAGATGGTTCCTGTGTGATAATGGGCTTTTCACTTTCTCTAGGTTATATGTATGATTGCTATAGTTGAGTTGTTAAGCAGATAGAGGAATACAAGACTTACTTAAAGCTAGAAATAAGATGGTAGCCCTTATATCGAAAGAAGAAGTTGGTAGAGAAGGAAGAGGAGCCAGGCTCTGCCACATTTAGAAATGGGTTACAGAGGACAAAGCAACATCCTGCAGGCTGGCAAACAGGAATGGTGAGACCTGTCTCTCTGGTGACTCCCTTCTCTTGCCATGGAGTAGCTTCCTAGTCAGTCTATCTGGATGCTCCAGGACCTTCCTGCTGGGAGGATCTCCTCTGTTCATTGACTTTGTCACAATACTTAAGGGGATGTCAGGAGACTTTTCTCTGGTGATGTCTCTACTGCTTTAGCAACCCACTTTTTGTAAGAACTCTTGGAGGGTGGTCTTAAGAATTGAACACTCATAATCAATCTCCACTTGCCAAGGGGGCATTAAAGTTCACTTGAAACACTCAGTCACTGGCCTGACTATATTTTTGGGTGGCTAGTGATATTGGCTAGTTATAAGTGCCAAAAAATCTTGTTGAGTCAGCATCTCTCAGTCTGGATCCCTGCCCTCGTGGTTTCAGTCCTTTAGCAATAATTGCAGGAATCATCCATTCCCCTGGGCTTTAGATGAACATCAACTATCCTTTTTTCCACCTCTTAGAAAAATGGAACCATTGGGAGCTGCTTTTCATCACCAGGAGGCATCAAGGCTGATTATGGGGCAGGATTATGAGCCTTATGACTGCAGAAGCAGAGGTGTTTGGGAGGGCTCTGGGCATATGCCTGTCTCAGTTCTCACTCCCATAACCTTTTGACCAAGTCCATAATGTTGTTGCCATTATGGTGGTGGGGGCATGACCTGAGGCATAAAATACACTAGGTAGCAGCTGCTTCACTTTCATATAACAAGGATTACAGCTTTTCAACCTTCCCTGTCTTGATTCAACCAGTTCCACATTTTAGGTTTATCACTTCACATCTGGTTTAAGTTTCTGTGTTAGGACACTTGCATTTGCAACAGAAAGATATTCCACTTAAGAGCATTCATTGATTCACATAACTGGAAGGTCACTGCTGGATCTGAAGCTTCATGGGTGATTGGATCCAGGGGCTTAAATGCTACCAAAAAGTTGGTCTTTCTTAGCTCTCTGCTTTGCTTCTGCTGCTGGTTTCATTATCGTCTACTGTAGATGAAACTGTAACACACTTGTACAATATAGTGTGTTGTGTTGCTTGCTTCTGAACAAACCCCCACACAGCTCACAGACTGTGTATGTGCATATTTGGCACAGTTTCATGGCTTATTTAGCTCAGAAGTCAGAAGCAAGACAGACAACATGGAAGGGATGCTTCTGGTGCAGGTTTCCTGGTCTTTGGCAGTTTCACAGAGCTCTAGCTGACAAAATCCTGAGATAACTTTACCAAGTAAAGATGTCTTTGGAGCCCAAGAAATCTTCTTTGGGCATTAATGCTTCCACCAGCTTCCTTTAAGAGGCTTTTCCTGAGCTGCAAGGGTCAGGTGGTCATTTTCAACTCATGGCATCTGCAAACCCACTCAGCTGAACCTTTGCCATGTGGCAGGGAGCGCACCATAGGCACTTCTGGATTTACATAGTTTCAAATAAGCACAGAGGAGAAAACCCCTTGCTCTGTGGCTTAAAATATAAAATTACAGGAAGGACTCAATGGCCTGGCTTGTATAGGTCCATGGATAAAATCATCGGTCATTGTGGACAAGAGACTGAGCTTCTCTAAGAAGAAAGTGGAGCTAGGATGCTAGGCAGATACTTGGAATAGCCACTGCACCACTCTTTCCTGTCTTTCTTGGTTTTCCTGCTTTCTCGCTTGATTTTTCTTTTTCATTTTTCTTAACATTTTATCTTCTTTTCCTCAACCCCTTCAATATGGGTCCATTCTTCTAACCCTGAAGAGCTGATCTTCTCACCCGACATCCTGAGACATCTCATATACTGCAGTGACTCTAAAGACCACCTACACACTGATGACTTGAAAAATCTCTTTCCAGTCCTGGCTAAGATTCACACTCATATTATCCACTGACCTCAACCACAGGAGACAGTTGTTGCACAGAATAAATTTGGCAGTGTCAGGGAGACACTTTAATTGTTACTGCTAGGTGGGTGGGATGCTATTTGTATCTAGTGGCTAGAGGCAAGGAATGCTGCTAGACATTCTATAGTGCCAAAGCCAGCCTTCCAGCCCTCTCCACCAATGCTCCAGCAGTGAGTGAAGCAATCTCCAAGTTATTCCACCAGCCCCCAGCCGTATGACTCTTTCCAACCAAAACCTTAGATATTGTAGAAGAGACATAAATCACCCCTGTCCAACTTCTTAATCCACAGAATCCATAAACATAGTAAATTGGTGGTAGTTTTGTGCCACTAAGTTTATTTTTCCACTTTTATGAAGGAGAAATATATTACCTAACAACCTCTACCATAAAGTTGGTCACCCTGAGGAGTCCTTTTTAAATATAGCATGTTTTGAATGTATTACTCTTCCCAAAGGATAAAGGAGTAAACATTTCTACATGCAATATGCCCCCCTTAGTTTACAAAATAGATAGCTGGGCAACTTCCCAAAACTGCACTCACCTTCTCCCCAGACCTTAGACTCTACCTGTATTTTCTGTCAGTTAATGCTATAGTTTGGATCTGTGTCCCTACCATATCATATCAAATTGTAGTCTCTAATGTTGGAGGAGGGGCCTGGTGAGAGGTGATTGTATCACCGGGACCGGTTTCCCTCTTTCTGTTCTCATGATAGTGAGTAAATTCTCATGAAAGCTTGCTGTTTAAAGGTATGTAGCACCCACCTCTTCTCTCTCTTCCTCCTGCTCCTTCCATGTAGGATGTACCTGCTTCTTCTTTGCCTTCTGCTATCATTGTAAGTTTCTGGAGTCCTTCCAACCATACTTTCTATGCAGCCTGTGGAATAATGAGCTAATTAAACATCTTTTCTTTATTTATTTTTATTTTTATTTTTTAATTGCATTTTAGTTTTGGGGTACATGTGCAGAACATGCAAGGTAGTTGCATAGGTACATACATGGCAGTGTGTTTTGCTGCCTTCCTCCCCTTCACCCACATTTGGCATTTCTCCCCATGCTATCCCTCCCCAGCTCAACCCCCCCACTGTCCCTCCCATATTTCCCCCAATAGATCCCAGAGTGTAGTGCTCCCTGTGTCCATGTGTCCAATAGATCCCTGTGTCCATGTGTTCTCATTGTTCATCACCCACCTATGAGTGAGAATATGCAGTATTTCATTTTCTGTTCTTGTGTCAGTTTGCTGAGAATGATGTTCTCCAGATTCATCTATGTCCCTACAAAGGACCTGAACTCATCATTTTTGATTGCTGAATAATATTCCATGGTGTATATGTGCCACATTTTCCCAGTCCAGTCTATCATCTATGGGCATTTGGTTCCAGGTCTTTGCTATTGTAAACAGTGCTGCAATGAACATTCATGTGCATGTGTCCTTATAGTAGAACGATTTATAGTCCTTTGGATATATACCCAGTAATGGGATTGCTGGGTCAAATGGAATTTCTATTTCTAGGTTCTTGAGGAATCGCCACACTGTCTTCCACAATGGTTGAATTAATTTACACTCCCACCAGCAGTGTAAAAGTGTTCCTTTTTCTCCACATCCTCTCTAGCATCTGTTGTCTCCAGATTTTTTAATGATCGTCATTCTAACAGGCATGAGGTGGTATCTCAATGTGGTTTTGATTTGCATCTCCCTAATGACCAGTGATGATGAGCATTTTTTCATATGTTTGTTGGCCTCATGTATGTCTTCTTTTGTAAAGTGTCTGTTCATATCCTTTGCCCATTTTTGAATGGGCTTGTTTGTTTTTTTCCTGTAAATCTCTTTTAGTTCTTTGTAAATTCTGGATATCAGCCCTTTGTCAGATAGGTAAACTGCAAAAATTTTTTCCCATTCTGTTGGTTGCCGATTCACTCTAGTGACTGTTTCTTTTGCTGTGCAGAAGCTGTGGAGTTTCATTAGGTCCCATTTGTCTATTTTGGCTTTTGTTGCCAATGCTTTTGGTGTTTTGGTCATGAAGTCCTTGCCTACTCCTATGTACTGAATGGTTTTGCCTAGATTTTCTTCTAGGGCTTTTATGGTGCTGGGTCTTATGTTTAAGTCTTTAATCCATCTGGAGTTAATTTTAGTGTAAGGTGTCAGGAAGGGGTCCAGTTTCTGCTTTCTGCACATGGCTAGCCCCAACATCATTTATTAAATAGGGAGTCCTTTCCCCATTGCTTGTTTTTGTCAGGTTTATCACAGATTGTATGGTTGTAGATATGTTGTTTTGACTCCGATGCCTCTGTTCTGTTCCATTGGTCTATATCTCTGTTTTGGTACCAGTACCATACTGTTTTGATTACTGTAACCTTGTAGTATAGTTTGAAGTCTGGTAGTGTGATCCTCCTGCTGTGTTCTTTTTGCTTAGAATTGACTTGGCTATGCAGGCTCTCTTTTGATTCCATATGATGTTCAAGGTGGTTTTTTCCAGTTCTGTGAAGAAAGTCAATGGTAGCTTGATAGAGTTAGCATTGAGACTGTAAATTACTTTGGGCAGTATGGCCATTTTCATGATATTGATTCTTCCTAACCATGAACATGGAATGTTTCTCCATCTGTTTGTGTCTTCTCTTATTTCTTTGAGCAGTGGTTTGTAGTTTTCCTTGAAGAGGTCCCTTACGTTCCTTGTAAGTTGTATTCCTAGATATTTTATTCTCTTTGTAGCAATTGTGAATGGCAGTTCGTTCTTGATTTGGCTCTCTTTAAGTCTGTTATTGGTGTATAGGAATGCTTGTGATTTTTGCACATTGATTTTATATCCTGAGACTTTGCTGAAGTTGCTTATCAGTTTCAGGAGTTTTTGGGCTGAGACAATGGGGTCTTCTAGATATACTATCATGTTGTCTGCAAAGGAGACAATTTGGCTTCCACCTTTCCTATTTGAATACCCTTTATTTCTTTTTCTTGCCTGATTGCTCTGGCTACAAATTCCAGTACTATATTGAATAGGAGTGGTGAGAGAGGGCATCCTTGTCTAGTGCCAGATTTCAAAGGGAATGCTTCCAGTTTTTGCCCATTCAGTATGATATTGGCTGTTGGTTTGTCATAAATAGCTTTTATTATTTTGAGATACGTTTTATCAATACCGAGTTTATTGAGGGTTTTTAGCATAAAGGGCTGTTGAATTTTGTCAAAGGCCTTCTCTGTGTCAATTGAGATAATCATGTGGTTTTTGTTTTTGGTTCTGTTTATGTGGTGAATTATGTTTATAGACTTGCGTGTGTTGAACCAGCCTTGCATCCCCGGGATGAATCCTACTTGATCATCATGGATAAGCTTTTGATGTGCTGTTGCAATCGGCTTGCCAGTATTTTATTGAAGATTTTTGCATCTATGTTCATCATGGATATTGGCCTGAAGTTTTCTTTTCTTGTTGAATCTCTGCCAGGTTTTGGTATCAGGATGATGTTGGTCTCATAAAATGATTTGGGAAGGATTCCCTCTTTTTGGATTATTTGGAATAGTTTCAAGCATCTTTTCTTTATAAATTACCCAGTCTCAGGTAGTACTTATGGCAACGTGAGAATGGACTAATACAGTTAATGACAAGGCAAGTTACAAGGTAAGCCAAGTCAGAAGCCTGGAACCGTTACAGTTTCCTTCTTTTCCTTGAAGTTTCACATATAACAGTTAACAGCCTTCCCAATTTTAAGAATTGATATTTCTTGCATTTGTTCTTCATTTACAGCTTTGTTAAAGCCCTTATCATCTTCTGCCTAGACAACTGAAAAAGCCTCCAAATTGTTACCCAAGTCTTGCTACTATCAAAGCCATATTGAATAGAGCCGCCAAGGTGACCTCTATTAAATGCATGGCTGCTCATATACCAATCTCTCTTTTAAATCTCCCATGTTTTCCTCATCGCTTATTGAGAATGTCCAGATACTTCTAGATAACATACAGGCTCTCCATAGAAGGCTCCCGCATCTTCACCACCTGCCCCTTTTTGCTCACTCCTTTACATTCTAATATCAAATTGCTTATAGTTCTCTTCTACACTCTTTATCCCAATTATTCCTTCTGTCTAAAATAACTTTCCCTTTCTTCTACTTTTCTACCTATCCTCAAGACTCAGCACAAGTGTTTCCTCTACCAGGAAGCCTTCCAAGACTTCTCCAGCCTGAGCTAAGTATTGTCCTACAAGTTTCCACGTATCCTGTGCTTGCTATGCTCCTTGTTCCTACCACACTGTTGTGAAATTCTTCACTTGTGCCTCAAAGGCAGGGAATCTGCCTTGTTCTTGGGTCCCAGCAGGATGCACACATCACATGCTTTCAGCAACTATTTGTTGAACTGAGGCGAAGACTTTGTTGGATTCACCAAACCCTCTTCCCTCTGACTTCTGGACACATAGATGGACTACATTTCTAAGACACTATTTTGGGTAGAGTGGCTGTGTGGCAGTTTTGCCAATGGAATACGGAAGGACTACCTAATTGACATTTGCCATTACAATGTTGGTTGGCTCATAAAGGATTCCATGTGACCCTCTACCCTTCTTTGCTGGCTGGATGTAGAAGATTCAGCAAAGACCTCTAAGACTCTAGAGGATAGTGGAGCCACAAAATGGAAGGAGGCTGGGTTTCTGAATGACCTCACAGTGGGCCACTCACTGTCCACAAATATCCATATTGTACTTTGTGTTAGGAGAGAGGCTGAGGAAATACAACCCTGAATTGAGGACTGGGGGGGGCTCTTGAAATCTCTGTTTCCAACTCTATCTTCAGAGAGGCTTACTTCTACTCATTCTTCATGAGTAAAATTGATCCTAAAACTTCAAAGGGAATTATATAGAGCAGAGTAACACTTGTATTTAGGTAACCATTTCCCTTACTACTTCTAACTTCTTATGCTTCAATTGGAGTTACCTTATGTTCAGAAAGGATTTTCATTCATCTCCCCTTATAGTAATTCACAATAATGAACATTCAAAGTTAATGTGTTTCTTGCCTTTTCTCTCCTTATGCTGAATAATTCCTAATTTACTTATATGCTTTTCATGTTGACTTCTCCCTTTTTATTCTAATGTTTTATTTACATATATACATACATTCTACTCTATTGAAGTAAAGTGAGTCAGGCAGTATCTTCCACCTAGTATCACAGCTGTCAAAAAAGCTTCAATATCGCGCTTATCAGAGTGGCAGTTCTGATAAAGGCAGCTAAACTCACTATTCTAATCAGCTTTGAGCAGAGCAAAATTAGCCTAATTTCCCATGTCTTTCCTTATCTTCTTGACCAACATTGAGATTGTACAAATTGTAAAATGAACTCCTCTTGAAAATTGTGATCAGATACTGGCTGTCAATCTTTTAATTGTTTGCCAGCCTGTATTAATCTGCTTTCACACTCCTAAAAAGAAATGCCCGAGACTGATTAATTTATGAAGGAAAGAGGTTTAAGTGACTCACAGTTCCACATGGCTGGGGAGGCCTCAGAAACCTGCAGTCATGGTGGAAGGGGAAGCAGGCACATCTTATATGACAGCAGGTGAGAGAGAGAATGTCATCTTTTCTGCAGCTCCCAATAAATTCCTCATCTCCCTGTGAGCTCGCCTTAGCCTGGACTTTATTATCCACATCACTATCAGCATTTTGGTCAAAAAATGATTCAACAAATCTTTAGGAAGGGCCAAAATTTCCTATATCTTCCTACATTCTTCTGAGCCCTCCAAACTTTTCCAACCTCTGCCCATTCCAAAGTCACTTCCACATTTTCAAGTATGTTTATAGCAGTGTCCTACTCCCCATACCAATTTACTGTATTAGTCCATTTTTGCACTTCTATAAAGAGATACCCAAGACTGGGTAATTTATAAAGAAAGACATTTAATTGGCTCAGAGTTCTATATGGCTGGGGAGGCCCCAGGGAAACCTACAGTCATGGCAGAAGGGGAAGCAGACACATCTACATGGCGGCAGATGAGAGAGAACATGTGTTAGCCAAGGGAAAACTACCCTTTATGAAGGCGTCAGATCTTGTGAGAATTAGCTCACTATCATGAGAACAGTATGTGGGAACTACCCCCATAATCCAATCACTTCCCTCCCTCAACAGGTGGGAATTACAGGTCCCTCCCTTGACATGCAGATATTACAATTCAACATAAGATTTGGGTGAGGATACAGAGCCATACCATATCACAGCCCAAATCAGTATATATCATGATACATTTCTTGTCCTGAGAATTAAATTTAATATTAAAAATAGTACCAAAAGTATCAGCCTTCAAAGTGAGAGTCTTCCCATGTCAATAGCAAATTTGAAAATTCATGACTTTTTGTAAGTTTTAAAGATATGATTGATTTTTCACCCTGGAATAAGAATATCCTTCCTTGGCCTGGCGTGGTGGCTAATGCCTGTAATCCCAGCACTTTGGAAGGCTGAGGCGGGCAGATCACAAGGTCAGGAGTTCAACACCAGCCTGGCCAATATGATGAAACCCCATCTCTACTAAAAACACAAAAATTAGCCGGGTGTGGTGGTGCATACCTATAGTCCCAGCTACCCGGGAGACTGAGGCAGAAGAATTGCTTGAACCTGGGGGGTGGAGGTTGCAGTGAGCCACGATCATGCCACTGCGTTCCAGCCTGGGTGACAGAGTGAGACTCCATCTGAAAAAAAAAAAGAATATTCTTCTTTTTCCAGATAGAGTAAAATTCTTCCTTTGTGTCCCCACTGCTCCTTGCACACTCACACTGTGGTTTTTCTGTACCTGTTTTTGTGCCCTAGTCCCTGAGCCCCTGGCAACTCTACTGTATCTTACCTCTAATTTCTCAGTGTGCACACAGGACCTGTTTCATAGTAGTGTCCCCTTAAATGTTTTTTGAGTTGATAAAGTAATGCAGAAGGTCTCAGAGAATTTGAAATATAGCCCATTGCAGCATGCTGTTCCACAAATCCCCAAAGCCTTGATTGTTTGTGATGAAGATAATTTTCTTGAGTGTGCGAAGGTCTCTTTTATGTGATTTCATTTATTCTTTCCTCTACCATTAATTATTTCCTTGTCTCTTTCAATTTTAGAGTCTCTCCCATCTTTCCTACATTAACTTAGATGTGACTGTGTGATAGAGCTTGCAGTACATTTTTCCAAGTTCGATTTAACACTCAGAATGTTACAAAATTCTTACAGGTTTTGAAGGCATGGATGTTTCTTCTTGAACTGCTATGGCTGTTCTTAACTTCATGGATACAGGTTTTCAGTCCCTCAAGGATTGAACAAATCAAGGTAAACTTTTAAAATGTAAACACCGGAAGTATGCCTCTTGTGTCTGCAAAATAGTCACATCCTCTATTCCATTATTTCTGCTTTCAAGACCATCTCAGTCTCACTCATATGGTCTAGACACTTGACCCTCAGACTCAATTTATCTCCTGTCTATGAGAAATAACCATCATTTAGTTACTGAGATAGGGAACTAACATATGAAAATGTCTTGGCTAAGGTAGCTCATGCTTATAACCTCAGCACTTTGGAAGACTCACTTGAGGCCAGGAGTTCAGGATGAGACTGGGAAACATAGAAAGACCCTGTCTCTACAAAAAAAAAAAAAGTATAAAATTATCCAGGTTTTGGGATGCATGCTTGCAGTCCTAGCTACTCCAGAGGCTGAGGTGGGAGGATCACTTGAGCCCAGGAGTTTGAGGCTGCAGTAAGCTACAACACACCACTGTACTCCAGCGTATGCAATAGAGCAATCTATTGATTACCTTTTTGTTTTCTTTCTTTCAGTGGTAGGTAGAGATGGGCCTACTGGTAGTGACAGTGAAATTAACAATAACCTGCACTTCCAGCTGTGGTTTGAAGAACACAAGGAACCTCTGAGGCGCTCTAAAGAGAGGTTTATCTGGGCCTGAGGCCAGGGCCCATATTAGGGAGTCCATGAAGACCCAGAATCATGCAACTAGCTCCACATCATCAAAAAAGATGAGATGATTAACTAAAAAATTTCCTTTGTAGTCCTGAAAATTTGTGTTTTCAGCCAGTCTCTAGTCTTTTCATGGAAAGTTTTTGATGCCTTATACCCTGTCACAACACTAAGTCTGGCAGATACTTTGGAGTAGAAAAACTGTGGTCACTCATGGCAATATCTGGGTATTTCCAAGTGAGTTTCTTGAATTAAAAAAATGCACTTCTGAATCAGGAACTTTTTATAGAAAGGTGATTCATAAACAGAAACATGTTTTCTCTTTATGATGTTACTGTTACTCTGTAGGGTTAGACTTTTGCCTATCTGGAACTCAAGAGACTGTTTCTACCTTCTTGAATACTTGTTCCAGTGGGTAATGTATCCTCAATGTGTATTGAAGAGTGACCAGGATATACATAAGTGACAAAGGCAAGATAAAAACAGAAGAGATTTAGCTGAATGGCATGAGCTTCTTAGGAAGTATTTTACAAGAGATTGTGGAGCAGAATTTGCCAAACTACAGCCCATGGGCCAAATCCCACCACCACGTTTGTGTACCACTTGTAAGCTGAGAATGGTTTGCTCGTTTTTAAACAGCTACATTCAAAATAGTTATGTAAGCACCTATATTATATTCTAGATTTTGCCTCTTGGCCCACAAAGCCTAAAATTATTTACCATATGACCCTTTATGGAAAAAGTTTGCTGATGCCTATTGTAGATATTAATAGGGAAAAAGATCAATGCAGAACACAATCTCCCTCTCCTCAACTGTCCTGGAGTAGGCTAAATAATCCCCCACCATCTGTCCACATCCTAACCTCTGGAGCTTGTAAATGTGTTATGTTATATGGCAAAAGGGACTTTCAAGATATAATTGAGTTAAATATCTTGAGATGAGAAGATAATCCTGAGTTATTTGATTAGGCCTGATGTAATCACAAGAGTCCTTATAAGAGGAAAGTGGGAGGGTCAAGGTCACAGTCAGAGAAGGAGGTGTGAAGGCAGAGGCGGAGGTTGGAGTAATACAGCCAGGAGACACGGAAGACAATTGGCCTCTAAAAAAGGCAAGAAAGAGGATTATCCCTTAGTGTTTCCAGACTTAACACAGCCCTGAGGACATCTTTCTTAAAGCCCCGTAAGAGTCATCTCAAATCCTGGCCTCCAGAACTGTAAGATAATGCATTGATGTTGTTTTGGGCCACTACATTTACAGTATGTTATTGCAGCAGCAATAGGAAGTAAACAACTTTGTCAGCCCGGCACTCCCAGGGTTGTAGAGGAAACACTGGGCCGACCACAGAGTCTTACAAAGTATAATGAATTCCCATAGGCCAGCTGGGTAAGAGGAGAGGTACAGTTGTAAGAGAAAGTTCAGAGTAGAGAACATACAGATAATCACAGAATTCTAATTGTAGAGAGCACTTTGAAAAGACACCCGAGGAAGAGCTCAGTTGTAAGGTCAGTTGCAAAGAGAAGAACTACGGAGTGGAATACGGCTAAAAGTCAAAGGCAGGAAGATGCAGCTTGTGGGAGATGAGACATGGCTGCATTAGCTAGGTTCTATGTGGCCTCTGCCCAGGTATCTGGGCAATGTTAAGCTGTCACTACCAGTAGGCCCATCTCTACCTACCACTGTCACTACCAGTAGGCCCATCTCTACCTACCACTGTCACTACCAGTAGGCCCATCTCTACCTACCACTGAAAGAAAGAAAACAAAAAGGAAATAAATAGATTGCTCTGTTGCATAAATAGATTGTTCTGTTAAGCTGAAACTAAGTAATATCCCCATTGGCAGAAGAGTAGAAACAAGAGAGCCCTACAAATTATAAGGGTGTGTTTTTATGTCAGCCATATAAACCATGTGACTTTCTGTCAAATTAGAATCATTAGCTCCACCTACCTCTTACGTTCAGATGAATTTTCTTACCCCCAAGCAAGAATCCATCTGCTTATATAAGTTCTGTAATTTGGATACGGTGGCATATTCTTGGCAACCAGTTATTTGCAGCAGATACAGCATTTAGAGTTCAGAATTGTGTCCTTTCTCCAGAAATTATTCGTTAAACAAACCAGTATCTCTTAAGACAACATTTCTCAAATTATGTTCACCAGTGACCACCCCTTGGAACTGAGGAGCTCTGGAGCAAACAGTAGGAAGTGCCTCCTTAAACTAAATAAACTATTTAACTATTCAATTATAGGATTTTTGATAAAACTGTTGTGAAAGACAAGTTCTCCCTTTTCTGTAGGTTTACTAAGCTAGTGAAGGAAAGCCTGGTGCTTATGGGAGCTATAATATGGAGACCCTGACCTAGAAAGTCAGTGCACACACACACACACACACACACACACACACACACACCCTCTCTGAGAGAAACAGAGAAGGTGGGGGGAGGGTGGAGAAACAGAGAAGGTGGGGGGAGGGTGAGAGAGAGAGAACACGAACACGAACACACACACACACACACACACCCCCTCTCTGAGAGAGAGAGAGAAGGTGGGGGGAGGGTGAGAGAGAGAGAAGAGGAAAGGAGAAGAGACTCAATTTCTGATAATACTGTTTGAGTTCCTGGTTGTAGCTCAGGAGTCTTTTGATTATACAGGAAAATCTTTTCCTCTTTCTCCCCATATAAGCCAGTTTCAATTGTATTTCCATTATTTGCAGTCAGAAAGAAGCTGGTAAATACAGTGATCATGTGTTTGACTTTGAACATACAGAATTTCAGGTCCCAGAAGGATATTCCAGTGGACTATAACTCAGAAGAGAAGTTGTAAGCAGGAATACATATTTGAGACTCATGAAAGTAATATTAAATATCTGGGAGTGACAAAGATCCACAAGAGAAAGAATGCAGAGATGGATGAGAACAAAGAGCAAGAAAATACATAACAACAGGAACTAAGAAAGGCAATTGGAGTAAAGCAGGAAATGGTCCCCAGACCTAAGTAAAAATCAAGTAGAATAAAGATTACCACTAGACTGGCAACTGGAAGTCACTGGTGATCACTGAAGTTGTGATTTATAGAGTCATGTATCTTAAAAACAACTATAAGAGGATATGAGTTATCCCTGTATATAATATTTTATTTTATTTTATTCTCCATTGGCATTTATGCAAGTCTAAGACACTATGGCTTATTTATCTTTAATACTCTGTGTCTGGCACCCATTAAATGAATGGATAAAAAGAAAATTGGGAGATATATGTATAGAGTGTTTTTATTTATGAAAATGGATTTTGTTAAGGAAAACATGCTACTTTCAAGACGCTTCCAGTTGAAAACCTAAAAATATGACTATGGCATGACAGCATGCACAATTTAAAGCTGGTAGGTAGGACTAATAGCACTGGGTAGCTGCATAGCCCCATGACTGTGAGAGGGCCATAAACCACTAAAGAGGTGAGTTATAAAATCAGACATACAAAGTAATCACAAAAGGACAAAAAAATCTTTTTGTCACAAGAAGAGGAAATGATTTGGTTTGGCTGTGTACCCACCCAAATCTCATCTGGATTTATAGCTCCTATAATTCTCACATATCGTGGGAGGAACCTGGTGGAAGATAATTGAATCATGGGTGTAGCTTTCCCCATGCTGTTCTCATGGTAGTAAACAAGTATCAAGATAGCTGATGATTTTATAAGGAGTTTCCCCTTTCACTTGGCTCTCATTCTCTCCTGCTGCCACCATGTAAGAAGTGCCTTTTGCCTTCCACCATGGTTCTGAGGCCTCCCTAGCCATGTGGAACTGTGAGTCCATGAAACCTTTTTTTCTTTATAAATTACCCAGTCTTGGGTATGTCTTTATCAGCAGTGCAAAAATGGGCTCATACAGGAAACAATCAACCCTGCATCATTAAACTGTTAAGTAATTATGAGTAAAAGCTGGTTCCTAGATTTATTCTCTATTTTAAAATTTCCTCCTCATTTTAGAAAAGAAATGCATTTTTGGAATAGAATGGAAAATAGGCCCATTCATTCATGTCAATACCAACTAAATGGCAGTGATGGCCTGGAGTACTGAGTGGAGGATTGCATAGCTCCAGGAAAAAGAAAGGATGGCTCTGGTTGATTACTGGTTTCTGCCATGGTCAAGGGAAGTGGAAAGAATCACTCATTTCATTCAGGTCCCTGTTCAAATAACACCTCATCAAAGGGTTCTTTCCTGGTCATTTTACCCAAAATTTTCTTATTTTTCTTCATAACACTTAACACAGTCCAATATGACATCACTTAAACATGCTTTGATGTCTGTCTTCTTTTTGCTGGAATACAAGCTCCACCAAAAGTTTAGTGATGTATCCCCAGCTCCTAAAACAGAGCCTGTATTAGTCTGTTTTCATGCTGTTGATAAAGACATACCCGAGACTGTGTAATTAATACAGGAAAAGGGATTTAATGGACTTACAGTTCCACATGGCTGGGGAGGTCTCACAACCCTGGCGGATGGCAAGGAGGAGCAAGTCACGTCTTACATGAATGGCAGCAGGCAAAGGGAGAGCTTGTGCAGGGAAACTCCCATTTTCAAAACCATCAGATCTCATGAGATTTATTGACTATCACAGGAACAGCAGGAGAAAGGCCCACCCCCATGATTCAATTACCTCCCAGTGGGTGGGAATTCAAGATGAGATTTGTGTGGGCTTGCAGCCAAACCATGTCAAAGCCTCATCAACGAACATTTGTTATATGAATGAATGATGTTCATGCTCTGTATTAGCCAAATTGGGCTAAGCTAAAGTTCATCTTTAAGACTGTATGTATTAGTCCATTTTCACACTGCTATAAAGACTGGGTAATTTATAAAGGAAAAAGGTTTAATTGACTCATAGTTCTATATGGCTGAGGAAGCCTCTGGAAACTTACAATCATGGTGAAAGGTGAAGGGGCAGCAAGCATCTTCTAATGAGAGAGAGAGAGAGAGAGAAGGAGGAACTATCAGACACATATAAAACCATCAGATCTTGTGATAACTCATTCACTATCACAAGAACAGCATAGGGGAAACAGCTCCCATAATCCAATCACCTCCCCCAGGTTCCTCCCTTGACATGTGGGGATTATGATGATCACAATTCGAGATAAGATTTGGGTGGGACACAGAGCCACACCATATTACTGTAGAACTCAGATAGTATAGAACACAAACAGTTGTAACTCCTTCAAAAATTTTAAACTATCTTTTGCTAGTACTGACTTTCACTAAAAATTAAGTTTCAGGAGCAGACAAACAAGTATGCTTTCCCTTTCTCAGAGGCTATATTTGGAACAAAATCCTGGGACCACCCACAGAGCTGGGGAATGGGGAAGACACATGCGTGTGTTCCGTTTTGGCTCTTTCACCTTAATGGAAGAACTGTTTAAAAGAAACAACCACAACCTCGAGAAGAAGTGAGAGCAATGAATCATAACATTGCAGTGACACTAATTTAAGATTCAAAGGGTTGAGGAAGCACAACTGTCAAACAGCAGGATGAGCAATGCTGGGCTGAGAAGGCTTCATTTATGAATGAGTGAGCACACATTTACCAAGCAGCAGAACAGAAATGCACAAAGGAAGACCTTGGTTACATATATTTCATTGCTCAGGGTTTGGGGGCAGGGTGTAAGAATCTCTGAATTGAGTCCCACTTTGGTCCCCCATAAGTGAATGCTCAATTTCCCTAGGGGGATCTGTTGTGGAAAGAAAGTCAACATTAATTCTTCTCTAGGGGAATGGTGTTACATTAGCCAACCTCTGGGAGACAGGGGATGCATCAGAATCAGGAAAGAACAATGAACACTAAATGTTAGGGGTCAGGACAGAGGTGGGAGCCACAAGTAAGGCCAGTAGGTGAAAATCAAGGAGAAAAATGAAGAGAATGGGGAGGTCTGGCAGGTGTGTTTGTGCCTGCAGTGAATAGTAACAAAAGAGTATTATGGAGATTGGGATAACACCACAGGAAGATGCGATTCCACCGCAATGTGACTGCAGTCAGGGGGAAGGGTAAAGGATTGGTGGGTGGGAGAAAATGGACACATGTGTTTCATTTCATCATAATTTATATCTCCATAAACTTCCAAAAAAGTTAAGACAGCTTTCAAGAATAGAAATAAATTGTAGTGCAGCTGTTAAAATAGAAAAAAAAAAATTAAAACAGGAAGGAACAGGAAATAAATTGACTCAATGCCTAGGAAAATCTGGTTATTTTAACTAGGCATTGACTTTAGCTCTGACTTTCCTAGCAGCAGAGGGAAAAATAAGAAACTTTTAATAGCTGGCAGCCCAAGAAAAAAAAGCAGCATAATGAAATGAAACTTTTAAAGAAATTCAAAATAAAAAGAACTGAATCTGCCGATAGGAAGAGATAGAGTACTAAGTTGAAAGGCAAGATCTGACTATGTGGAAAGCAGTGGGGAAAACTGCATGTGGATGTGTCTAGGACCACACCATGTCTGCAGCTTGGGTCTTTTTTCCCTCCTGCAGCTGGCTCTCCATGCACCCTTATTTCTCACTGTAGAACTTTCACCCACTGTCTCTCCCTTCCACCAGCCTGGCTGCTGGCTGCAGCATGATTTGCAGACCTCTCTACACTCCCTTTTCTGCTAGGCTCTATAAAAGCCCAGCCTTATTTTTACTTTCTGGCTTTTACTGCTTGTTACTCTGGGTGAGGTCACAGATATTGGGAAAATTTTGCATCTCCCGCTGATATTGAAACATAAATCATTCCAGACTTTCACCCTTAACTCCCCATACCATGGATGGTGCAGAGCCTCTCTATACACTGTTTCATCCTTCCTTGTATCCCATGGTAGAACTCTGTCTCTCATCTTTGCCTTTCTCTGAGAGATGTATCAGGACCAGGGGGTGCCATCTGCAGCTGAACCATAAAGGTAAGGGTGTCCCTCTCTTGGGTGGCCTCCTGAGTCACATTAACAAACTATTATTCTTGCCACAATTTATTGTAATTTTTTTACACTTTACTATGATCATTTATTTAGTCTGCCAACCTTTCTACTATTCCCCTTTCCCCTCCCCAAATACCAGAAGCCCTAAGCTGTGAAGGCCAGCCTGTGCCTGTCTAGTTTGCTGTGGCATCCTCAGCACTTAGCCTGGGCTTATATTCTCAGGGGTTTTGGTAAGTAAATGACTGAAGGTCACGAAAGAAATAAAGAGAAATTAACTAAGAAGCAATGAGGTGGGGCAGGACATCCCAATAGTGGTTCCCAACGTGGAATGTGCCTGAGAGCGTGCTGGGGAACTTGATAAACGTGCAGCACCTGGGCAGGGCCTCTCTCCTGTGGGTGGTCCTTAGACCACACTTGGAGAAATGCTGCACTCAAGCCTGCCTGGGCTCCTGGTGGGGGAAGCTTGAGAGAATAGTGATGGATTGGGTCAGGCTTTCCATTCAGGTAAAATAAAAAGGTGACCTCTGGAATGCCAAGGTATGGAACAGATTTAAAAAAGAAAAGAAAAGAAAAGAAAAGCAGGTAAGGCTGTCATTCATTGCAAGCAAAGAGACCCTGGCTGCTTTCCCTTCTAAATAGCCACCAGAACTCCTGCACTGAGGCCAAAACTTGAACCACACCACACACCCTGTTGGTATAAGTCCCTGGGTATTAGAGCAGGCTCCAGGAGGACCAAGAAAAAGTCCTATACCATACTTTGCTGAGAGACAGGGGTGTACTTACCAGTTTCTGACTCAAATCTGCAGCTTTCTACTGTCACACATATGACAGTGGGGAGAGGGCAAATCTATTTTCCTGTTGTCCTGTTGTTCACATTCTTTGGAGTTTGAGGCATGTGATAGGTGGCCTGAAGGCACCATTTCCCCCAGGCCTTTTCTATCCCACACAACTTCCTCCTCACCATGCTTGCAACTAGTGGAAAGAGCACACATTGAAAATCAGGGGAGAGACACTAGTTTTGGCCCTATTCAGCCCCTGTCCACCTCAACCTCTGAAGACCACATTCCAACACCCCCCATCCTCAACCTAACTGGCCAGGGAGTACCTGTGCTCAAGTCCTGTGGGATCTATAGGTGAGCACTCCACACTCCATGCCTCGAATGCTGATGATGTAAGTTCTCTTGTTGGCCTTTCCTCTCCTGGCCTCCCTATCCCATATATTTTTTGCTTTTTTTCCTCACTCACTTGCAAGGTGCTGTGGTTTAAATGCAGCATCTCCAAAATTCGGGTGTTGCCAATATGATAGTATCAAGTGGTAGGGCCTTTAAGAGGTGATTAGACCATGAGGGCTCCTTCCTCATTAATGATATTAAGGCGTTCATAAAAGAGGCTTACCCAGCGTTTTGCTGGCTGGCTGGTCCTTTCTCTTTTCACCAAGTCGAGGACAGGGCACTCTTAATCTCTGGAGGATTTGGCCCTCCCCAGACAACCAAACTTGCCTGTGCCTTGATCGTGGATTTCCTAGACTACAGAACTATGAGAAAACAAGTTCTGTTCTTTAAAAGTTACCTGATCTTGAGTATTCGGTTCCAGCAGCATGAATGGACTACGTAAGGCACAAGGCTTTCTACTAAGCCCTATGCACACTCCACTATAACGTAAGAAACAGTTACTCACTTCTTCCCTGGGGGTTTACTCAACATCTTGTTGTACTGGAAATCTGACTAGGGTGGAGGCTGCCCATTCCCCACATTATACAAAGCAAAGGACCCGTGGGGTCTGCATTCTATGAGCCCCTCATTGCTGCTTTAAAACCACTCTCCAACCTAGTATAAAATCCCCATTTTTGTTGAGATGTACACCATTTGGCTATGTACTGGTCTGGAGAAGCCCAGTTGCTTATCTTCTTTGTCCCAATATATAAAGGCCACTGATTAAAAACAAAAATCACCCAAATGTGCAGATTGGTGCTTCTACAAACCCCCACTCTCCAATGCTGTTGCTGCCCCACAGTATTTTTAACCATTACTGGCTAGGTCTCTCATCCTCCCCGTCTCACCCTTCAGTCATCCCCTTCATTCGCGTTATTTCAAGTGTTTGCCAGATTGGTCAACCTACCTCCCTTCACTCTGAGTGGATGAGTTTATGCTCTACTGCTAAGGCTGACACAAGGCCCTGGGGTCTAACAAGAGCCTTTCTAGCTCAGAAATCAGCAGTTGCCTGGGTCTGAACTAAGGCCCCTCCACTTCTTGGCTGTGCAACTGTGGGGAATTTTTTCCATTCTCTGTGTTTCAGCTTCCTTCTATAAAGTGGGGATGATACCATATATTTTGTACTGCTTTTATGAGAATCAGATGAGTTTATGCATAGGAAAATAAAAACAGTCTAGCATGTGATACAAACTAAAGAATATAGCTTATCTCTATCAGTACTTCCAGGACTCCTTTTCTCCCAGGAGTGTGGCCTTCCAAACACAGAACCCTCAAGGCAGAGGCTAGAGATGGGCTTTATTGGAAACAAGGAAGCTCTTATCAATTTCTGCACTTATCGTGGGATCAGGCAACGTGATATTTCAAGTCCAAGTCAAAGGAAATTTACATAAAAGTTTAGGTAGTTTATAACCTTCCACCCCATTGTCTAATCTCCTCCCAGTTCAGTCTTTTTCTATCATTCTAACAACTTAGATCCTTTAAATTTGACATTTTGTGGCAAAAAGAACCTGCTCGTGAGCACTGGGAAATTCACCAGGTGGATCTAGGAGATTCTAACTTCTCCATGGCAAGGAGATTCCTTTCCCAGTGCCCAGGAGATACCAATATTAGGCAAACATATTCAATTCACAAGAGATGATGTAAAATAAGCAAAACGGCCATTACAAAGGCTTTATTCTAAAGGGTAGAGTGCTGTACGGCAAGGTGGGTGTGAGGTGACTACTGCATGAGCTTCACCTCTAGATCTGAGTACCTTGCTAGCTCACCTTCATCCCAAGGGCATTTGCATGGTATATAAATCTACCTACTATTGGTACGCTCAAATATCAGGCATCCTCTCCTATACACCCAAATGTCCTTTTCATTGAAGTGCAATAAGTGCCACACAGTCCAGCTTGGCTTCAGGGAAGACTAAAGTGACTCAGACTTAGGTGCCGGCGTGTGGCAGCAGTGCTGGCTCTACCACATACACAAGCTGATGTTCCCACCAGCGGCCTGCACAGGACACTATAGGATACAACACCTGGAAAAAAACAAAAGCTGGCTCTCCACAGAGGAGGAACACCTGCAGAGGCAGGGGCACACAAAGTGTCTGATACTCTAAAGGGTATCCCTAATCTCTTCATAATAATGAGTAAGAAAAAAAACAGAATAAGAAAAATTGACTAATAGGAAAGCTTTGTTTTTGAAATCCCTCCTTACCACCTTTCTTTTCATGTGAACTCAGGTTTTGCCATTGCTCTCTGGTTGCCAGCCACGTGGAACCACTTTCTTTCTTCCATCTTCTTAGGCCAGGTTTGTTGCATCTTCTAATATCTTGCTCACATCCTTTTGTTAGGTCACAGTTAACAGCATCAGAAGGTTCCAGGTAACAGTTATCTCCTCCATCACCAGTAGATATGAATCCCATCAGTGAGACAGATTGGCAAGTTCTATACACTGGGTGCAGAGCCCAGAGATTTTGCTCCCTTAGGGTGCAGTAAGACAGAGCCAGGAAGCAATGATCCTAATGGGAGTCTCACCTGCATTGTGGGTGATTAACTCAACCTGATTTGGGCAGGATTTTTCTAGCTTTTCAAGTGAAACCCCTCCATTTCAAGCATACTGAATGTTTAGTCATTCGACGCCTGGGAATTTTTAAGAAGCAACAGAAAACCACTGACATCAAGACCCCCCTCTCCAGACATTATCTTTTAATTATGCTGGGTGGGGTGAAACATTAATGATGTCTAAAAGTTCCTCCAGGGGTTCTGATATTCAACGAAGGTTTAAAATTACACACGTAGGACATTATCAGTCAGCTCGATCAGGCCAGTGGCGAAGGAGTCTCTCAGGACATGATAAGAGATATTTCTGATAGATTTCCAGCCTGACCCCAGTTCTCAGAGGCCTTTAGGATATGAAGGTATTTATGGTTTAATACTCTCCCTATCCCCAAAACCCTCTCCCCCTAAGAAAAGAGTTCAATAAGGAAATGAGAAAATCCAATTAGATGAAATATCTAAAAATTATTACTGAGATATGTTTAACTTTATACTTAGATGATTTCCCAGACAATTCAATGCGAACAATTTCTAGGAGCTCGTGTATCTGACACAATATTACCTGGGTCCTCAAGAATCCAGTGCCAGTGAATTAAAAATTCAAGGTGACAAGGACATTACCCAAGCTTCGCCAGTGCTCAGTGGTGTGCCCCCTTGATTGCTGGCTGCAGCACACCCAGTCAGTCACATTCTCAGTTTACACAGATGTCTTTCAGTACATGAAAAAGTAAATCCAGCAACCCTTGGCCAAATCCAAAGATGCTTTTCCAGGAGAAAAAAAATGAAACTAAAGAACAACTAAAACCAACCAAACAAAGAAAATAAGAGCAGGAAATGCAAAACATTATGCTTTAGCATTTCTCAATAATTTTTACTACAGCTTGAGACAATTTTCTTCCTCTCATTTTCAGCCCACCCTCTTAGAAACTCAAAGGGAATTTCATTTTGACATGCCTCCTCCAGAAAGCAGGAGCCCACTGGCATTTATTTTATCCACTAACTAACCAAGACTAGAGTTTCTCAAGATGGTGTGGGATCAGCAAAATAACTGAACACTCCTTGGCCTGGCATTGTCCTCTATGTCCTTATGGCTGCTAAGAGGGATCATGACAAGCCTGTTCAGATCCTGGGCCCCAGCCTTCTTTTTATAGACACCCATCCGCTTTTACCCCGCCAGGAGAAAGATTGACTGCATGCTGTGAATAACGAGGCTAGAAAATCATTAAGGCAAAAGATGAAGACAGGTCATGTCAGATATATGAGGATTTAAATTTAATATAAAAAACACTTCAGCTCCCAATAATAAGTTGTTATTTAAAATAGCACAACTGCGAGAGCTCTGGTATTTATTACAAAATTTCATGGGTCTGTGCACCACAGTAACTTGTAGAGTTTTAAAAAATGTATGGATTCTGCAGCCACAACTCTACAGATTTCAAATCAATAATCTGGTGTTAGGACCCAAGAATCTCCATCTTTCAAGGCTCCCCAGGTGATTTTTGCCTGCAGCCATGTCTGTGATCTTAACTATGTAATTCTTTTTACTCCATCAGGTGTGTCTTTGAGAAGATGAGAAGATCGCAGACCTATGTTCTAAACTGGCCTCGTTCTAAAGAAAACGTGAGACGGCTGAGGTCTTCAGTTTTCAGATAAAAGATCAACTGAAGACTAGCTATTAACCATATTATTTTTAATTTCTCCTCTGTAGCTCTTTATTCATCTAATGAGCAATGTGGTCCTATCAGACAAGCCCCTGATAGCCTGCATCATCAGCCACAGTGCTTTATCATTCAGGAGACCATATTATTGATCTTCCAAAGGGAGACACCTTTTTTTTTTTTTTTAAATTTTTTATTGGATTATAGGTTTTGGGGTACATGAGCAGAGCATGCAAGACAGTTGCGTAGGTACACATATGGCAGTGTGCTTTGCTTTTCTTCTCCCCTTCACCCACATTTGGCATTTCTCCCCAGGCTATCCCTCCCCACCTCCCCCTCCCACTGGCCCTCCCCTTTTCCCCCCAATAGACCCCAGTGTTTAGTACTCCCCTTTCTGTGTCCATGTGTTCTCATTTTTCATCACCCACCTATGAGTGAGAATATGCGGTGTTTCATTTTCTGTTCTTGTGTCAGTTTGCTGAGGATGATGTTTTCCAGATTCATCCATGTCCCTACAAACGACACGAACTCATCATTTCTGATTGCTGCATAATATTCCATGGTGTATATGTGCCACATTTTTCCAATCCAGTCTATTATCAATGGGCATTTGGGTTGATTCCAGGTCTTTGCTATTGTAAACAGTGCTGCAATGAACATTCGTGTACATGTGTCCTTATAGTAGAACGATTTATAGTCTTTTGGATATATACCCAGTAATGGGATTGCTGGGTCAAATGGAATTTCTATTTCTAAGGCCTTGAGGAATCGCCACACTGTCTTCCACAATGGTTGAACTAATTTACACTCCCACCAACAGTGTAAAAGTGTTCCTTTTTCTCCACATCCTCTCCAGCATCTGTTGTCTCCAGATTTTTTAATGATCGCCATTCTAACTGGCGTGAGATGGTATCTCAATGTGGTTTTGATTTGCATCTCTCTGATGACCAGTGACGATGAGCATTTTTTCATATGATTGTTGGCCTCATATATGTCTTCTTTTGTAAAGTATCTGTTCATATCCTTTGCCCACTTTTGAATGGGCTTGTTTGTTTTTTTCCTGCTAAATCTGCTTGAGTTCTTTGTAAATTCTGGATATCAGCCCTTTGTCAGATGGGTAGACTGCGAAAATTTTTTCCCATTCTGTTGGTTGCCGATCCACTCTAGTGACTGTTTCTTTTGCCGTGCAGAAGCTGTGGAGTTTCATTAGGTCCCATTTGTCTATTTTGGCTTTTGTTGCCAATGCTCTTGGTGTTTTGTTCATGAAGTCCTTGCCTACTCCTATGTCCTGGATAGTTTTGCCAACACTCAATTGCAGGAAATACAGAGAACACCACAAAGATATTCCGCAAGGGAGACACCTTTAAAAGGGAAAGGGAGAACTGTTAATAATCACACCAAGCAACATATATAAACCAGGACTGTCTGGGGCAAATTAGGATTTGTTGATCTCATTATAAGTGTCCGTCACCTCAGACAGCCCCATATTCATTGAATCTATTGATGAGTGACAAAATCTGTCTGAAATTTTATCCACCCCCATTCACTACTAAAGCTGTGGACATTCTGGTATTTGATTAAAAAGTTATGACCTTATATCTAACTCTATTCTTCTTCTAAATCCTCTTTACTATAGCAGTTTACTCATACTAAAAAATACACAGAATTACATTACAAAGAATACTCAACCCTATTAGGTGTCTAACAGATATAAACCGGGTCCCTTGTATCCCTTCCTTTTGTCCTTTCCCTCCTTCTCTCATCAGAGAACCAATCATCATCCTGAATTATTGCTGAATTTATCATTCTTGTGCAGTTTTTTACTTTACCACATATGCATACATCCATAAATAATGCCTGGCATTATTTCTGTTTTAAAACCACATGTGTTATTCTGCAATTTGCCTTTTCTCAATAACACTATTTTTAAGATATGTACATATACTAACACATGTAACTCTGATTCAGTCAGTTTAAAGTCCTTTCTAATAGACCACAAATTATACATTCTCCCATTCGTGCATGTTTATGTTTATCTATTTTTTTACTGTTACAAACGGTGCTGCTATGAAAATTATTCTATATATCTTATTTTGAAACATGTATGAGAATTTATCTAGGGTGTATTTCCAGAAGTTGAATTTGAGGCTGTAGGTTTGTGCCTCTTCAACTTTAACAAGTATTTCTACTAAATTTCTCTCTGAAGTGGTTATACCAGCTTACACTCTCGGCATCTACAAAGAAGGGTTTCCTTATCTCCTAATCTTTGACAACACATGGTATAATCAGTTATTTTAATCTAGTTACAATCTGGTATATGACTTTGTATCTTGTCATCTGAAATCACATTTCTCTGTTGTTAATGATATTAAACATCTTTCCCTGTATTTATTGGCTTTTTAGCTGTGAGCTCCTCTTCTATGAGTTATGCATTTGCATTGTTCCCCCCCCACTCTTCCCTTTCCCCCTACTTTATGAACATTGAAATTTGAGTTTCATATAATTTTCGTGTGTTAGAAAATATTCTTCTTCTTTTGATTTGTTTCAACCATTAAATTTGATTTTTGATTTGTTACAAAAAGTTTGATTGGTTACAAAACCATTCTTAGCTCATGGGCTGTACAAAGACAGGCCGGCATGATTTGGCTCTGGGGCTGTGGTTCACCTACCATGATAAATTCAGCAATAATTCAGGATGATAATTGGTTCTCTGATGAGAGAAGGAGGGATAGAAAAGAAAGAAGAGATACAAGCATTTTTTTTGTTGTTGTTTGTTAGTTTCTACTAATTTGTGGTAGTTCTTTACAAATTCTAGATACAGTCTTTTATTGGTTATATACTTTGTAAATCTCCTGCTTCATGGCTTGAATTTTAATTATGTTTGTGAAGTTTCCTGTTGAACATAAATAAGTTTTTATTTTAGAGGAGTCAGATTTATCAGTCCTTCCCCTTACAATTCATACTTTCTGTGTCTTATTTAAGAATCTTACCTGATTCTGAAACCAAAAAGATTTTCTTCTGAAAGTTTAACAATTGTATTCTTCATACTTTACTTATCTTACAATTCATTTTTATTGATGAAGTGAGTTAGGAATCTACTTTCATTTCTTATTT